TATAATATAGATTCTTCTTTCAATAAGAAATTATAACGTTGAACAATGGCCGCAAGATGATGATGTCGATTATCAAAGAATTATTGACGAATCAATTACAACTATTAAAGAGTATAATTTAGATGGTATAGACATTGAATATCCTGGAATGAGAGGAAGTTTATGTAAAGTTCCTAATCCAGGTCCTAATCCTAATGGATTCATATGGGATAAAAGTAATGATGACAAATTCATTAATTTTTTAATAACCCTTCGAGAGGCATTGAATGGAAAAACATTAATGTTGACAGTTGGTAGAGATGTAATTGGAAATTTAAATGATGTAATTGATTATCTTAACATTGAAACTTATCATAATAGTTTATATCAAAATTTAAAAAAGTCAAACAATGGCAATTATAAATCACATCCAAATTCACCATTAGATGTATACATAAAGGCCTATGAAGATTGGAATTATTATGGTAGAATTGATAGTAAAAAAATAATTATGGGTGTAGATTTTGGGAATACCATTCAAATGATACCTAACGAAAATATTAGACAAGTTCAAACTGTTGAGTTTCCAAAATCCGCCGTTTTATTCGATTTTAACAAGCTTAAGTTAATTGATCAATTCCAGCCAATCAGAGATTTTTGTTCTGGAGCTGATTCTAATTTATATTCATGGCCATGGAGAGAACTTTCATATACCGCTCTAAATAAATCAGAAAGATTTTGTTCTATTAATACGAATTTTCTTAACTGGACACGTAAATTTGAAGAAAAAGATAATTCCGGTACTCCATGGCTATATAGCGTTCCTGATCTCAGCGTTCCTTTTAATCATTTATATGTATCTTATGAAGATATCAGTTCATTACGTAGTAAATTAGAGTTTGCAGTGACAAATTCAATCGGAGGAATGTCAATATCTGACGTTAGTTATGATGACATCAATAATAATTTATTAAACTTTATGCAACCAATACGAGGTAAGGCGGTTCCAACAACTGGTGGTTCATCTCCATCGAATGAAGGTAATGGAAAATCAGCTCCTAAAGTTTCAGATAACGTAGGAAAGATAAAAAAAGGAATTATCACTGGTTCAATTGTTGGAAGTATATTGGGTCTGTTTTTATTGGCAATTTGCGCGTATTGGTATCGTCAAAAATCTCTTCATAAATACGAAGCTGAAATTAATCCAGAATCAACGTCAAATCGAGTCGTTTCTTCGACCACTGTTATACAAAGTGATCGACGGATCATCGATCATCTAACTATCGAATAAAAAAAAAGATTTTAGATAAAAATAAAATATCAATAATTGGTATATCACATTAATACATAATGCATTCAAAAATAATATTCTAAGCTTCATCTTGAGTATTTGAACCTTTTTTTTGCGTTTGGTTTTATTTCGTTTTATTACTTTATACAGCTTCGCCTAAATTATTTTTAATTATGAAAGATGTCTGCTCGTCCACGTATATATAAATAAAGAATAATTGTGAATGAAATACCTTTGCTCAATGGATGTACAGGACAGGATGTACATACAGTATATAATTAATGTCTCTCATTATTTATACTAATACCAATTATTTGCAAAAATCATCAATAAATAAATAGTAAATTCGAAATTGGTGAGAAGAAAGCAAAAATCCAAATGTATGACGATATGGTGGAGTATCTTTCCATCATTCTCTGTAAAAAAAAAAAAAAATCCCAATATGGGATTACAACACCTAAATATAGTAATTAGTGTATAACAAAAATGAAAGGAATCGTTAATACTGCGAAATAGAGATATTGCTTCAGATCATTTTTTTACAATAATAAAATGCTTTGACCCATTTATAAAACATTATATTAATTTAATAAACTATTACATCAATATAACTGTTTAAAACCATTTTAATCTTTAATCTTTTAAATACTGTCTTATCCATTAGTCTCTGTATCTGCCTATTATATTGATTGTGAATCATAATGGTGGTGTCAAAAAGAAATCGTAGCTCTATTGCCGAAGTGAGCAATTAATATAGTTACTACTGACGATAGTAGTAATATTAATGAATTAGCTTCTCCTGAAATATGATAACAGTTATATTAGTGAACATTTGTTTATTTTTAAATTTTATATATATTTACAAAATAAACATTTATTCAATAAAAAAAATACTCTGTAAATGTTCCGTGTAACAGCCAATAATAACAATAATAATAACGGCATTACTATCGCTATTTATTATATTACGAAAATCGAAAAACAATTACGGTGAACATCTCTATATACAAGCAAAAATTTTGCTATCACTTCCAAACTAGTGCATAATTCATAGATAGTGTGTACATGTCGCATGTAAGATAACAAATCGATTGCTGGAGAAGCAATTACACTATTAAATGTAATTTATTTGCAATAAATCTTAATCATCCTATAATATTACGCCTAATAAAAATACAGGTTTATTAAATCCAAATATCTTCTTTTCATTTGATGTCTATGGTGATGCCCCAGTTGGTAATTCTTTTGTTTGAATTTGAATTCTGTATGATCGCTCGCATTTTTGTATTCCATAATACGGATCTATCAAAATTAGATCTTAAGAATATTGTAGATCAGAAAATGCATCTAGAAATTGACATGATCCATACCTTGAAGAAATAAATCTTTTCAATAAGTTCTTTGATCATGTAGAAATCAATTTTGATCTCAGGAATAGAGAATTGCGTAAGTATATCAACAATGTATATTCCTTCTGGTATGCGATGCATTGTATAAATGGTAATTACACGTTCTGAAATGAGTAAGATCATAAAAACATTTAGTCACCTGATTATCATCACTTACGATATACTACAATTCCGTAACTTTCTATGCATTTGATTTTATCTTCAGTGGCTCCACGTTGAAGAAAATGTTGTCTCTGATAGAACATGGAGATTTTCATTGCTATAGAATAAATTTTACATTAATAATGTATTAAAATTACAACCATCTCAACATGTATGAATAAACTCACAGACCTTTGAAGACTTTTTCAGTGTCCTCGCATAGTTTTTTAAAGTCAATTTCAATTGCACTACCAACAACTTCCATGAAACCAATCTCCAAGTTCGTCGCATTTAAACTGACTTCAATAATACCATATTGGTTACAACCAAGGTGGATACGAGATTTTTGTTGTTCAGTTTCATTTCTTTGTTTCTTTGTTAACATCTTCTCAATTTCGCCACTAAGTATAAAGGATCAGTAGACATAATATTAGAGTTCAATGAAAAATCAGCATTTTGCAGTGAAATGTGAAACACACGTTCTGAATCGAATGGTATCTAAATCATCAAATGCTCGTGCTAATATTGGGGAAATAAAATCTTCTCGATAAGAGAACTCTGACTGCTTGGAATCCGTGAGTTTATTTAATGGCGCCTTGAAATTGAGTATGCTAAATGAAAGTAGAGTATAGGGAAAACCGGCACGGTACGGTTCGGCTGATCGGTACAGCACGATTATGCTGATCGGTACGATCCTCCAAATTATGATCGTACCGTACCGGTTTTTCATCCTCCCTATGAAAGTAGACAACACTGATATAAAGGTAATACGAAAAGGTGTGGAGTCCCGTGTGGTGTACAGTGATGTTTATTATGATCACGTGACATTTGTGGTAAGCGTACTCAAGTTACATATACCACCTCCAGCCCACATTATTATAATTTTGGCCGGTTAATCTTATTCATCTCGAGTAAATGTTACATGAGGTGATATACACCACTCATCATCTTCACGGGACTCCACACCTTTTCGTATCACTCCTGATATAACTGGTTGGGCAAATTACAATAACTATTCAACAAGTACATACAATCGCTTATACAAATCTTGTATCCATAAAAGAATGTAATGTTGTTTGTAGTTGAAGACATCATTGTAGGTTTCTCCATAACTATGTCAAGATTGATTTGGGTTCAATGAAAGCTCCATCATAAGTGTTCAAAAGAGGTTTTATAATCTCTTCCCATTTGGGTTCATATGTATTAAATTGACATGATTGTTCAGACTAAAGAGTAAGGTTAATATAATATCCTGAATTTTCGTGAAACTGTAGAAAATATACATACAGTATCCCAGAAATCTTTTAACAATTCTTTTTCACTAGTTGTAAAGATTTTATTCACTGGGTTTGCTGCATTTCGGTCAGAAAGATCAACGATTCGATATTCAAACAACCGATATGAGGAATTATTTATTTTATTTATAATCTCACATAATTCATTTGTGGTGGTTTGAGTGGACTGTGAAAATAGAGTACTAAGTCAATTAAGTCATCAAGAAAAATAAAATAGTATTAAAGATAGCAGATACCTCTTGAATCATTTGAGTTTTTAAATATTTACACTCTGCAATTTCGTTGCACTCTTCATCAACAACAATATCAGGGGAATTGTGTAATGACTGATGCAATTCAAGAATACAAAAGATGATGAATGCACGTTTACTTGAATAGTTAGTTATAATGTATCATTACCTTCTTTGATAGTGGCTGTGTTTGATTATCATGATTATTATTATCATCAAACGCTCGTTTGTTCCTCATTTCAGATTTCACAGATGTAATTGTAGAAACGACTTTCTCTAAGTTTGAAAGAGCACCTTTGTTTAATTGCGTTGCGGTGTGTACAATTCCATTCACCTAATATGAATATAAGTTATAGGATACTGAAATGGAAAGATTATTCAAATCACAATAAACAACATATTATAAGACCTACCTGAACTTCTGTAATTTCTGCCTGAGCCCGCATAAGATCCAATTTGGATTGTTCTTCAAGTAACTTGCTCTTCATGTTAATATTTTCCTTCTGTTCATGTATCTCCCAGAAGATTATTATTTGCTTCGACTTTTTAGCACTCTTGTATAAAAAGGTGGTGAATTAATGAAATGTATCCGTCGTCATGTAAAGTAGAAAATAGGAAAATCGCAGACGAACAAGCAGTCTTTCCCTTACGAACAAGCAGATCGAAAGGTAGTCCACGAGAACCATTCTGGACAAACAAGCAGTTTTTTCCTTTACGAACAAGCAGATCGCAAAGTAAGTCCATTAAACTACATGCACGACACATCATTGGAAGATGTGCACACCAACAAACAAGCAGTCTTTCCCAATACTAACAAGCAGATAGTATGGTAGTTGGTGAGGCATAAGAGTCGAACGGGCCTTTGAAGTGAATAAATAAAATACAGGTAAATATAAACATGCCTTAAAAGCTAGTTTCCATTTTTTTACTTTTTCCCCAATTTCAGATATTATAGCGTAGTGCGAACTAATGGTTATCAACTCATTCTTGTAATTATTATGCTCGGTTTGCATATCCTTCAAATCACCGGAACGAAGCCGAAAATCCAAAAACTTTTTGAGCGTAGGTTCTTTAGTGTTTTCCCAAAAACCTATATAACTATAAATCGCAGATTAAGGACGGGAAACCCATAAAGCTTTACATGTCGCATCAATTTCATTACCACGATAAAACAAAGCGTTAAGACACTCAGGTGTTAAATCCATTTTGGAGAAATTAGTGTTTTCTTTGTTTATTCAAATAGTTAACGTGTTGACGATCCAAAAAGCGTGTTAGACACGTTCATTACTGCTAATTTATTTATTACTATTTTGGTATCACAATACTATATACCGGGAAGTATTGCACGGTTTTGATTTGATATTTTAGTTAATTTATCATATGTTACTAAGCCATATTTTTTAGTAACATATTGATTATCGATTACATAAATGAAATATTTTTATTATAGTTTGAATTAATATGTTGCAATTCATAAAATCAAATTTGAAAATACTCCCAAAGTTCAGAAATCATAAATATTATAGGATATCATTATACAATAGTTATTTGGTTTCTTTTGCAAGAGAACATATAAAAAACCAAATATTGAATCCGATATCGAAGCTTAGTACATGCGATAAAATGAAAAGTAATGTGTTTTTAAATTATCGATTTTACACCTTGCAATGCTTTAATTTTAACAATTATTTAAATATTTTATTCGTAAGCCAGCCAATATGTTACTAAAAAAATATGGCTCAGTTACATATGATAAATTAACTAAAATATCTAAATCAAAACCGTGCATCTTTATTTAGAAAAATGACATGAAATGAATTACTTTGTTCAATAGATCTCGCATCTATATAAATTCAATGCACTTTCTTTCATTTCAACACTATTTGTTCTCTAACTTCATTTTATGATTTCAATGTTGTACCATTTTTAAATATTACCGTAAAGCGTTCTGTATAGTACCCGGGGTATTTTACATTCTACTAAATATTGCGGGGTACTATACTAGGGGGGGTACTGTGATCGGAGGAGGGTACTATATATGGCGTATACTTGTAAAAATAAAATGATTGAT